TTTCCTTTCTTTTCTCGGCCCCTCCTCTCCTCCCGGTCCTCCTTCCCCTCCCTCCTTTTGCCTCCCCTCCACCTCTTCCCATCCCTCGGACCTCCCTACACCCGTCTCATCGTTGTAAAATTGTGTTATTTGCAGGAATGGTTCGATGCTATAAATCTCAAGAATTGTGAAATCCGAGCACAACCGTTTTGCATAAGTTACCATATCCCATTGCATCGACACATTGCAGCAGCTGTTTTACGTGTTATTGAAGTCCCGGCTCTAGCCCCATCGCTGAAGATTTTGATCGAAGATGAGATTTTCCTACGCAAAGCTCTCCTCTATCCACTTAGAATACAGGTCACTTTTTTTTTATTGATAATGGCGAGAAGGAAAGTTGATTTATAATAAGTTTTATTGGTATGCTAGACGGCGCACAAATGATAAGTACTAACGGTGATGTTAAACTAAAAGTATGCAGCGCAGGATCGAATGACATAGCATAACTGCGCCCAATGTTTAGGGATGTAAAGGCGCGAGTGCGTCACCCACCTAGGCCCATATACCCCAAGGTTTCTTGGGTTATGACTAGGGTCGGTCACCCCCCCAAAATGGGAGATGTAAAGGCGAATTTCTCGCCTTGCTCCCCTACCCCCATCCCAAACCATAAACCTCCAAAAAAAAATAAAATAAAATAAACAAAATTGATGTGTCATCTTTCGATGACACTCCGCCGCGACGTCGGGAATCGACATAACTGCGCCCAATGTTTAGGAGCATCCAAATAACATAACTGACATGAGATATCTGTTCGGGTTTTTTAGACGGTCTTAATTTCTTGGTATGAACCGGAACATTTCTTACCATTATAATAAAGAATCTCACAAATTTCCTAATTTTCATTTTTCACATTCGTTTTCTTTTTTCCTCTTTTTTCTATTCTTTTCTGTCGTAATTTTTCTACTAGTTTTCTTTAGAAAAAAAAAGCTGTATTAATTTTTGTTGAAATGGGCGGATTAAGATAACATGGATTTGTAGCGCTACTTGGATGTTTGGAAAAACGGTTGTACGCCTGTGCAGCTTTGCGACTTCTTTAGAGCATGTTAGAGAATAATTGTTTCTGATTAAGTGCTATTTTTCTGGCAGTTTTTGGGTGCCTTGGTTTTTCAAAAAAATAAAATATTCTGGTGTTCTTAGAGTTTTACCCTGAGATCTTTACTTCTGAATTGTTGCTGTATTCCAGGTATGTCGGGCAGAAACTTTGGCCGGTATGTGGACAAGGAATGGAAATTCCATTCGAAATCAGGCATTTTATTATGTCCAGACCAGTTACATTGCTGCATTTTTGGACTGTGATATCACATTGATAAGGTTCGAAAAGTTTGCATCATTTGTATTTTTTGCATATTTTTGTCATTATCTGCTTCTCACAATCATTGCTTGTGTTGGAACAGCTAGGAGATGAAACACAGACTGCTTATCTACATATTTTTCCACTGTATATCGTATAATTCATCCTTGCAGATCTTATATTTCTTAATATTTCTAGTTTAATCTGGTTTCTAACTATTTTAAATTATTTCACTTCAAATTATTTGTTTAAATATTCGTAGAATTACATGTACTTGAATATTTGAATACTTGAAAGGCTGTTGATTTTATATTAGGAATGTTCTGTAGTGCTATACCTAATAACCATGCAGTGGACTTCACCTGGTTTTAACTATTTTAAATTACCTTTAATTATTTGGGTATTTGTTGAGTTCATGGGATTATATGTACTGAAATACTTGAGTACTTAAGGAATTTTTTTTTATGTTGGGCATGTTTTATAGTGGTATAGCCAAGAACTATGCAGTGGACTTCAGTCTTGAGCTTCCCCCTACCCTTCCTACCGCAGAATTTCAGAAATCGGCCAAACGTGTGGATAGTCTTAACTGTTCTTTTGACATGTCATTAGTGCCAGTTGATTATTAATTTCGTCCATCTGTTGTCTGTCATCCATGCTAAATGATTCGCCCAGCTTTTTTTTTTCTAGCATACATTTTTTGTCCATCGCTCAGGGATATGTTTGAAGAAGTCATATACGTTGCTGTTACCTAAAATTTACCTCTTTATTGATAGCGGCGTCACTGGTGGTTTCTTTTTTTTCTAGGTTTATAGCTTCATTTATTGATACGGAGTGGTTTATGGAAGCTCTGTGCGCAGCTTTTTATATGGACGATTGTTGGTTGCTTTTTGAATTAGCACCACCAGATTTCATGTCAAATTCAAACACGATTCGTATAATTACACGAATCGAATGGGTCGATTTCATGGTCGATGGCTTAATGAGGTACCAAATTTTTTGTGAAAAAAGCTTGGAAATTGATTTGGCTATGAAAAAATTACCTTTTTTTGCCAGGCATCTGTCTCTTGATTTTTTTCTGCACTTAGCTTTTGTGTGGGACATTTTTCAAGAACGGAATAGTTAAGTTCAAAGAAGTTATACGGCCTTAGGGCCATGGTGTACCTGAATGTTTTAGTAGTTAAAATTTTTAATACTTGGGATAACTGAATCAGCTGTTACCGCTCATTTTAGTGCTCTTATGTGCAGTTGGCGACTTTTCTAGTTGTTTTAATTACTGTAGTTTGGCTATATATGTTGTGTGTAACAGGAAAGCGGGAAGTGATAGGAATCCAAAAAAAAAAAAAAAAGAAAATGCCGATTGAGAATTCAGGCTTGCAGAACTACAGAGAATGTCTTAAACACTGAAATGGCGTAGCTAGTATTTTTAGATTATTATTGGATATATTGGTTGTACGATGGAATGCGCCTGACAAGACGATAGCGAATATTGAAAGAGAAATTATAGCTGCGCTTGCTGTAGCTGACCTGACACACTCAAAATTGCGAGCTTTAATTCCCGAAAAAGGAAGTCGACCATCCGTTGATGATAAAACATTTGACAAAATTTTGGAAAAGGTTTTTTTCTTTACAAAAATTATGACGCAAAAAGTTCATTTTTAAAGTCCATACTTATTAGAAATAATTTTTTCAGTGGTGTGTATACATTTAATTGGTAGCAGGTATCAAGTAGAAGTATGCAGTCTGAAATGCAGAGCTGGCATAGCTATGCTCAACGTCTAGAATCGTTTCACTGAGATCACCTGCGTAGGATCTTTTCATCGATTGTAGAATAGCCGGTGGAAATTGGAAAAAATTGTACGTCGCGCATGATATTAGCGTTAGACAGCACAAAGTAACGCGCGCGCGTGGGTGGCAAAAATACAGATGTAAGAGATGCTGCAGTTGCTCAGTTGAGCACAGCTGAGCACAAGGGCCGGTAGTGTAGTGGAAAACACGTCGCGATTTGAGGAATCTGGACACAGTGGAGGTGAGAGGTTCGATTCCCCATCGGTGCACGACTTCTTTTGCAAAGGGGTTTCCGTCCGGGACAGCGATTTATCTGAGTAGCAATGATATTCTTGTTTCAAGTCAGATGATTTTACAAATCTGATGGTCCAAATTTATCGCTAATAATATTTTTGGATATTTTGTAGGCTATGATGGATTGATGATTAGGGATAAAAAGCACGGTTGGGACCAAAAATGTTGTGTTAAGGGGCCTGGCAGAAATTCCAGTGTTTTTAACAGACATGTTCAGTTGTTACGTTGGATATTCTCCTGCTCTGCTCTGTTTCAGGTGGCAACATATTGTGAGCCGGATCAGGGCAGCCAAATTGAACAGGGATTGTACACGTTAACAACGGCAACGTGGCGACATCATTTTGACCCGGCATTTTGCAGAATGCGTGCAACGACAGCACGTGAATACAGCGACGCTTTGCTACGTACCGAAAAGATGTAATACTTTCAAGTTATTGATGCATTTCTAACACCTAAAATATAAAACTTTCGAATATTCCCGGCACGACATTTGAATTTAGTAACGAATTTCCAGGGTCAACCTGACTGCTACAATCGGCTTGTTTAGTGCAGTTAACTTTCGTTTTTCGAGAACGTACTAAACGGATTCTGGTTTTTGCAACTCCCTGCACAACTTGGTGGTTTCTTAACTGAAATCACCCCCTTTCTTCGCTCTGTATTAACTTTCTGTGAGAGACGAATGCAGTCAGAAATAGCTGGATTAGTATCACGTGCTAGAAAGCAGCCGACCAGTTGTCGATGGCTTCTTCTTCCGGGAGTTGCTCAAGAAAAAGTTGATGACGAGTTTACTTTCCTAGCATGCGCCAGTACCAGCCTACCATCGAATCTAACGAAAAATACTTAGTTGTCGAATTAGCGGAGCCGAATTCTCGGCCCTACCGCAGTATAAAACGGAAGTACTAGCTGCTGTGCTTTTTTCTCAAAATCTTTACTTTTTTTGGTTTTGGGGCCGAGCAAATTTTAGCTTTTTTTTTTTCAGAGAACGCGATTTATTGCTGAAGCAATCACCGGGCAATCGTTCCTGTGATCATT